ATTCTTTTTTTTATTATTTAATTATTTATTTATTTATTTATTTATTTATTTTTTTTTATTTTATTTATTAGTTGTTTATTTGGTTTTTATCTTTTATTTATTAATAAAATTAAATTAAATTAAATTAAATAAAACCTTTTAGTATTACACTATTATTGTTATTATTGTTAATATTATTATTATTTTTAGAAAAAGATAGAGGATTTATAATATTTAAAGATTAAAAAATAAAGAGATAAAAACAAATTTTCTAGAAATTAGTTAGTTTTTAAAATTTAATTAGAAATGGCCAATAATGAATTAGAAATGGTTGACGAGCAAAAATGGGAGGAAAGAATCAATAAAGTCAAGCAGGGTTATAAAAGAAATAGGGTTGTATTATGGATTAAGAGTAAAAGGTAAGATCAAACATTCATCATCATCATCATTATCATTATCATCTTTATATAACTTTAATATTAAATTTTATTTTTTTCAATTTTTATAATAGTCCTTTCCCATGGATCAATGTATTTTCATTTTTAGTTAATATTCCAATGTTAGTTGCACTTATTATTTTAACTGGTGTAAGATGGAGAAAAGAATGTTCATTTATTGGTACTTTTTGTATAATTTATATATTTATTTTTTTAGGTAATATTGCATACTCTTGGTATTTCCACAAAACTATGAAATTAAAGAAACCTAGACATTTTGTTAATATAGTTTCAGATTGTGGTTTCAGTTCATTCTTTTTATACACTGGTGTCTCTGTGGTCATTTTCATTATTTGTGAATATTTAAGAAAGGGTACCGAATACACTGAATGCTATAAAAACAATAGAGATATTTACGTATTATTAAGAGGTGCTGCTGGTATGGATATATTCTTTTTAGTTGGTTTCTTTATCATCAATTTCTTAAATATCATATTAAGTTGTTACAGATTACCAGACTTGGATTCAAGAACAAAAGCTAAAAAAGCTAAAAAACAATTAAATACCTATTAACAATAATATTAACAATAACGATAATAATAAAATAGTATCAAATTATAATTTTATAATCATCAAAAAATATTTATATATAATAAAAACAAAAAAAAAAATAAAAAAAAAAAAAGTAAATAAATAAAGGTTTATAATCCATGATTAATTATTTTTAAAATAATAATTAATACTTTTAAATATAAAAATAAATAAATAAATAAATAAATGAGTAGTTATAGTTTTTTTAAAATTTTTTTTATTTTTTCATTTTTTTTTTTCCAAAATCTATATTACTATTTCTGTTGTGTTATTATATTTATTATTATTGAACAATTTATCTTTCGCCTAACCATGAGTGAGAGTTTTCAATTCTTGCTAAAGTTTTGGTACCTCTTGATTTTTCTCTTGCTCTAAAATATTTTAAAAAAAAAAAAAGTTAATATTTTTTCATAGGTTTGTTGCTATGGTGAAAAATTATTGTTTTTTATATTTATATATGATTTTGAATATGTTATGTTGTGAGATTCTGTGTATATAAATATGTATATTCCGATGGTTTATTATTGGTAATTGTTATTATGTGTTGTTTGTATGTTATTTTTGTATGTATGTGTATGTTTTGAATATGCATATTGTTGTGTTTGATTTATTTACTCTTCTCTGATTGCTTCATAGTTTTTACAAAAATCATATACAAAATGATTCCATTTGAATTTTTTAATTGTTTTTTGTCTAATGAATCTTTGACGTGATGGTTTCATATGAGTGGCATCTTCATCATCTAAAAATGCTCTGTGATTTTCCCATTCGATTGGATCTTCTGGTTGATCTACAATTTGTGACATTGCTTTTTCATCTAAATAAAATTTTGGTTGATAAATTGGAAGTGGTCTAACTGCACTTTTAATGAAACCAACTTTTGATACTGATGACATTTTATATAATATATATAATATATATCAATAAATAATATATATAATTTCAAAACAACAACAAAAAATATGAAATGTAAAACACGAAAAAATTTAAAAAAAAAATTAAAAAAAAAAAAATTAAAAAAATAAAAATAAAAAAAAAAATAAAATTTAAAATTTTTTTGGTAAATGAAAAAAAAAGAAAAAAAAGAAATGAAAACAACAAATAAAATATAAGAGATAATATTTCTATTGATTTATTAAAGAGTAGTTTTTTTTTGATTGATGGTTCTTATTTGTGTGTTTTTATTATTTTAATATTTTTTTTTTTTTTTAATTTAATTTTTAAAAAAAATTTTTTTAATTTTTTTTTTTTTAATTTTTTTTTTTAATTTTTAAAATTTTTTTTTTAATTTTTTTTATTTCATTTCAATTCATTTCATTTATTTAATTTTTTTTTTATTTTTATTTTTTTTACATTTTTAGATTATTAAATTAATCACCTAAACGAGTTTTTCAAATATTTTTATAATCTTATAAATAATAAAAAAATAGTTATAATAATTCTAATGGATATTAGAAAATAAATCTTTGTTTTAATTTATATATGTATATTTTTATTTTCTAATGTTATATATATAATCATAACTACACATAAAACCAACACACATACACCCGTATTATATATATATATAAATCATATAATAATAGTACACTATTCTACTCCACCTTTCTATAATAAAAAATGGAAAAAGTAATAAACGACAATACAAATAAAGGTGAAGTAGAATTAGTAATACAGCAACAAACACCAAAACAACTACCTGGTACACAACAAATAGAAAAAGATTATAAAAAGAATAATAGTAATAATAATACTTTTGAATCAATTGTAAATGGTTGCGATGATATACTATCAGATAAACAAGTTCAATGTATATTAGATCAGGTTTTAAAGGAAGAAGAGGGTGAAGAAAGTTCATCAATAACAACCGAAAACACCACAGATACCACTTCAACATTTGAAAATAATAGTAAATCAATGATAATAGATGATGTATATTATAGTTTAGAATATGATTATGAAGATTATATCAAATATAGAAAAATTATTTCAAAAAAATTAGAAATTGAAAAGATCGAACAATACAAGCATCAAGAAAAACAAAATAGATTAATAATTTATCATCAAAAATTAAAAGAAAAAGATGACGCAAGGCTGATAATAGAGTCAAATAACATAATAAAAGAGAATAAAGTAGTTTTAAATAATCAACTTCAAGAAAAGACCCTACTTTTAGAAAAGAAGCTACAAGAGATCGATTCCATTCAAAAATATAATGAACAACTAAAAATACACAGGGAATTATTGGAGCAGAAAAGAAAAGAAAAAGAAAAGACTAAAGAAAGAGAAAGACAGGAGCAATTAGAAAAACAACAACAGCAACAACAACAACAGCAACAACAACAATTGGAGAAACAACAGGCCGAGCAATTATTGCAACAACAGACTCAAGCTGAGCAACAAATAATCGATGAAGAAGAGCAAAGTAATAATGGTAAAAAGAAGAGATCTAGGCCGAATGTAAATAGAGTATTTAGATCGCTTTTGACAGATGTGAAGGTGACAAAGAATAAATGGAATGGTCTCAAATATGAAGGTCAAGATGAATTATACGATCAATTAGATAACGTTTTAACTCAATTAAAGGATTTCTCTGAACATTCTTATCCGTTTCTTTCAAAGGTTAGACCATCCGAGGCACCAAATTATTATGAAATCATCAAGAAACCAATGGATTTAGGCTTAATTTCAAAAAAATTAAAAAAGTGTGAATACAATAGTAAATTTGAATTTCAATTGGATTTAAATTTAATATTTACAAATTGTAGAATGTATAATACAGATCCAGTAAGTTAAATTTTATTTATTGTGTTATTAATTAAATTATAAAATCAATATTAACATTTTTTTTTGTTTATAGTCTAGTAGAATGTATGTTAATCATGCCGAAGAAATGGAGAAGAAGACAAGAGAGCTAATGAAAAATGTTAGAGATTTAGATTTTACTACAGATTCAATAAAAGTAACAGAGTTAAATGGTGATCACCAAGATAGTGCTATGGATACTACGACAACCACAACGACAATGACAACCAACACCACTACACCATCTAAAAAAGGTAGAGCAAGTAAAAAACAAAAAACATCACCAACCACACCATCAGTTTCATCAAATACACCTCCATCTATTTCAACATCACCATTTACCCCATCAACTATATCATCATCAAATATTTCATCACCATCAACATCACCACCAGGTCCATTATCACCATTTCAAACTCCTCCTTTAGGTTCATCAAATCAGGTTGCCAATGAAAATGGCGATAGTTCAACTAATACCACCACCACCACCACCACCACCACCACCTCATCAACAACAGGTTCTCATGAAAATGGTACAGATATTGTAGATGAAAATGTTAGCGATTTATTAGAAAATACATTAGTCAAACCTATAGAGGAGGTCAAAGAATCTGAAGAGGAAATTAAAAATTCAATTACATCAATTGAACATCAATTAAGTCTTTTACCTTCAGAGGAGCAATTAGAAAGAGAGATTGAAGAATCAGAAAAGTTAATAGATGAAGATATTAAGTTGGACGAGTCAGAAATTATAGTAGACCCATCAGCATTATCATTATTCCCAATAACAGATTCTTCCTCATCTGAAGACAATTTATCATCACCTGAAGAAAGTGGCAGAAATAAAAATAAAAATAATGGCAACAATAATAATAATAATAATAATAATAGTAATAACGAAAACGAATTTTTTGAAGATGAAAAATCTAAAAAGATCAATGCATATAAAGAATTAACCAAAGATATTAGAGTTAGAAAGTTAAAGTATTTTATAGATCAACAGTCCTTGCCATTTAAAAAGCATGAGGCATTCATTAGAACTCCATATTTTATGAACTCATATTACAATTTAGACTTAATACAGCAACAAGAGTATAGTAATGATGGCGAATCAGAGCAAGAAAAATTGCAAAAAGAGGGATCTTCATTCAATAAACCAAATATAATATCACCATTACAAAAAATGGATCAAGACTTTATAGATTTAAATGTTGGTTTCTTTCCGGAAATTAGTCACTATTCAAATTGTATACCATCACTAAAATCAGATTATCTTTGTAAAAATTTATCACCATCATCAACAACAAATAACCAATCAAATTCATTAGAGAAACTATTAAAAGAGTCAGCTTTAAATAAAACCACCACATCCACTACCACAACAACAACCACTACAGCAGCACCAAACAAATTAAATAATGATTTGGCTCATTCAATTTTAACAAAATCAATAGCTAAATCAATAACTATGGAATCATGTTTACAGGGTATAACGCAAGAGACAATGCTGGTGTTTACCGATATTGTCGGATCATTTATATGTAAAATTGGTAAAATATTTAATACGCAATATTCAAACTATGGTTTACCTACATCAACAAAGAATCCACCAGAGCTTTTATTAAATTCATTGATCAGCAAGTTATTTGGTAATAGTTTAGGTATCTTGGCACTTCGCGATTATTTAGAAGAGAAAAAGAAGGGTATATCTTTTGATCCATTATTCGAATTAAATTTACAATATGAAAAAGAATTAAGAGAAAGCATTAAAAAGAATAAAATCAATAGTGGTTGTATAAAAGATCTAGATGTTATTATGAAAGAGGAAGAGGATGAGGAAGAGGAGCTACAGCAACAAGAGGAAAGTTTGGGTTTATTTGGTCATTATCCAAGACATATAGAGGAAGAAACCGAGTTTTCATTGTTTATCGACCCTAAACCAGTGGTCAAACAACAAAACCCCCCAAAACAAAATGCACACCAAACAGTAGCACCAACTCAAAATGTTGCAACCGATCCAGCACATTTCGCTCAACAACAACAACTACATCTACAATATCAAATTCAACAACAGCAACTAAAAATTCAACAGCAATTACAAATTCAACAACAATTACAACAACAAATTCAGCATCAACAGCAACAAAATCAAGATATTTTAGTAACTACCCCACAACTAGCTCCAACTCAAGGTTCATTAACATTACCTCAAACACCCCAACAACAAGGTCAAGCATCGAATCAACAATTCCAACCTATTTTTCAATCGATTACAAGTCCTGTTTCACCTACAGGTACTCCAACATTAAATCCAACTACTCTTTTACCAAATACATCAACATCCCCAGCTACAGCATCTACATCTAGCAGCACATCAACATCATCTAGCTCAACAAAAAAATCATCAAAAGCAAAAGAAAAAGAAAAAGAAAGAGAGAAAGAAAAGGAAAAAGAGAAAAAGAAAAAGGTTAAAAAAACAGAAACTAAAAGTAAAGATAAAGAGAGGGAAAAAGATAAGAAACACTCTCATTCTCACTCATCATCAAATACAACTGAACAAAACGCGACCCAATCATTAACCGGTGAAAGTATACCAACTGCTGATGCTAATAGTCAACACCCAATCAAAGAAAACTCTGATTCAAATAGTCATATACCAACATCACCAACACCCCATCATCCTCCTAAACCAATACCTCCAAATAAACAACACCAATCAACACCTCAACAACCACCAACACCTCAACAGCCATCAACACCACAACAAATAGATTTCAATTTAACATCATCAACAACATCGACTGCATCTTCTACAACTGCCGAACCAAAGAAGAAAAGAGGTAGACCCCAAAAACTAAAAACAGAAAATAAATAAATATTAATTTTAATTATTATTTATATAACTACAATTATATAATCTAATTTAAAAATTTATTAATATAAAAAAAAAAAAAAAATTTTTTCTTTAGAAATACATTTTTTTAATTTGTTTGATAAATATTTATTTTTAACTTTTAAATAGTTTATAATAACAATAATATAAAGCCTAAAAATAATAATGATGAAATGTTGATGGCTTGTTTTGAAGAGTCGTTTGAGCTACTCTCAGTATTTGGGTTTGAGTTTGATGATAATACAGACTCAAAACTATTGGATGGTCTTCCACTTGTTAAAACTGGCACTTCAACTGTATGATTCCAACCACCAGAAGTGGTTGTCATTGGGTTGTAGCCAGTAGTGGATTGATTCCAACCACCAGTGGTTGTCATTGGGTTGGTAGTGGATTGGTTCCAACCACCAGTGGTTGTCATTGAGTTGGTAGTGGATTGGTTCCAACCACCAGAAGTGGTTGTCATTGGGTTGTGGCCAGTAGTGGATTGATTCCAACCACCAGTGGTTGTTGAGGTAAATGGTGGATTTGTTGGGGCTGGGTGGGTATTATTTACATTGCATGATAATTGGTTATCTACGCTACATTGAATAATATTTGAAATGCACGAAATTTTATATCTAGTTGAACATGTGACAGAGCCATTTTTGGCTGAACAAGTAAAATCATCATTATAACAATAGGTATTACCACTACTCTTGCAAACAATTTTGGAATAACCACTATTTTCTACTAATAAAAGTGATGATGATGGATCATAGGTGCATGTAACAGAATTATCATCTGATGAGGAGGAATAAGCTTGAATTCCACTTAATAATAAGGTAATAAATATACAAATAAAAATATATTTCATTTTATATTTGTAGAATTGGTTGCACCTTGTGATAAAAATAAAGAAATTGAAAAAAAAAAAAGTTTTTTTTTTATTTTTTGTTTTTTTTTTTGATAAAAATTTTTTTTTCTCGATTTTCAAGGAAATATAATAAAAAAATTTTATTTTTTTTATTTCTAATTATAAAATAGACAATAATACAGCAGATTTAGCGATGGGCCATAATCGAACTTTTCAAATCTTCTATGGTTATATAACTGAACGAAATGTGTCATGTTTTTAATAGATGTACCACCCGGTTCTAAAGATATTATGGTAGAATTATTGTAGTATTAAATGTTTGTTGATGAAGACCAAATATAGATTCAATTAAAGAAGAGCATCAAAGTTTACATTCAGTGCAGAATTTTAAGAAGTGAAAACCAATGGAGAAAGGCATAAATTCATAACTTCCAAACTTTTGAAAGAGCTTATCCGTATGCAGTTTTTTAGATTTCCCCACTTTCATGTTTTAAATTATTTTTTTTTAATTATTTTTTAATTTTTATTTATTTCCATAAAATGAAAATTTAGATTTGAATAAAAAATTTAATTTCTTTATTTATTAATTAGTTGATTTGTCTGTAAGATAATTTATGTCTACATGAGAAGAACAAAACAATCATTATAAAAACAGCTATGATGATACCTATAGCAGCGGCTAAGAAATACCAACCAATTTGATTTTTGAGAGATGGGACACTGCATGATTCTGGATGATAGCTGGAAGGATTTGTACCTGGACCATTTAATACGGTTGGGTTAGATGGTGTGCATTTGATGCTTATTTGAGGATTATTATAAAAAGTATATTCATCCATATCTAAACCTTGATATTGTGTACCAAAAATAAAAATACTTCCACCACTTGAAGTGATAAAATTGGAAACTACAGTATTTAAAAATGATTCTCTTATTACGAGGCTAGAGTCTTCTTGATAGATAAGCGAGCTAATGTTGAATGTATCTTTTGTTAAATGTTGATCAAAAGGATTACCATTGTTTACATTTAAATAAGTTCCTACAAAGGTTGCCATTACAGAGTCTAGTGAAAACATGGATGTTGATGAAGAGCTTGAACCCTCTCCGATTGGAAAGTTGGTTGAAAAATTGCTACTATCAACGAAGAGATTAGTATAGCCAAGAAATTTAAAAACAGGTGAGCTGCCAATAGAATATGTGTTAAATTCTATATTATCAAATAGAACATCTGAACTTCCATTGAAGAAAATAACTGGCCACATACTAGAAAAATAGTGAAACAAAGAATTTGAAAGTGTAACTGAGTTTTTTGGGGTGCCAATAAATGTAAGGGGTAATGTGTTGTTTATTAAAGTTGAGGGGTATGAAAGATCTATAGTTTCAAATAAACAATCATCAATTAAAAGGTTATATGGACTATGGCTGTTAATTGTTGATATCAAAGCTGAATCTATGGCGGATACTGAGATATTAACAAAGCTACTTGAAATTATTTGGATATCAAGATTTACCAAACCCCCAAACTTAAATATCATTTCAGAATAGCCGTTGCTCATTACACCATAATAATCTGAATTGATCAATGCTGTACTTTGATTACCGGTGAATGTACAATTGAAAATTTCTATCTGTGTTAATGATTCAACATTTGGGGTGTTAAAATCTGAACATGTTGAATACTCTACATTATTCAACAATAATGGAAGAGGTGCTGTTGTATTTTGATTGTCATACAAAATAAATTGAATACCGCTAAATGTGACCGATGATGTTGCTAAATTGGCATATTTATTAAGAGAAGGGTTGGTCCATGGACATATAATCGGTGGATTAATTTCGAAAAATGTTTGATTTTGTTGAAAAACTACTGGCCCATTGGTTTCATTAGCTTGAAGGGTTAAATTGTAACCAAAAATGTTTAAAACTGTATTATTTTCTTGGTAGGTTCCTGAAGATATATCTAATATTAGTTGTGGCAATGTTGTTAAATTAGTATTTATATTTAAACCACTAACAACATTTTTTTGATATGATTCTATGGCTCCATGAACTGAAAGGCATGCTCCATTTTGTTCAAAACCACACATTGCAATATTATCATTTCCATTTTTAGAAATATATAATATTTGTTGGCAACTTATTTCTGAAATTAAAAAAAATACATATAAAAAAATTGTAAAAATTTTATACATTTTATTTTATTATTATTATTTATGATATTCTATTATTAATAGATGCTTTTATTAATATTATTTTTATTTGTTACTTTTATAATTTATTATTTTTATCGAAAGTGTATAATATTTTTTTTTATTTATACTTTTTTTTTTGCATAAAATAGATTTTTTTTAAAAAAGATATGATTTTATAAAAAATCAGGATATTATATCCCCTATTATAAAATTATTATTAAAAATAGACATCTTTATTATAAAATATTGAATAGCGAAATAATGAGACACCTAAAACTTTTTATTTTTAAAAAAATGAAATTTTTTCAATAAAAAAACAATAAATTTTAATAAAAAAAAAACAAGATAAATTTTTTTTTTTTATCAAAAATTCAAAATCATAAAAAAAAAAACTTATTTATTTAATATAATTATAAATTGGGTAAACCTAAAAATATATTTTTTTATTTTAGACATAATATTTGTTTTTTTATCATAAGAAAATATTTTTTATAATTATTTTTTTTTGAAAATTTTAAACTTAAAAATATAAAAAACACAATTATTTTAAAAACCAAAGAAAAAAAAATTCTTTATTTATTTTAAAATTTTTTTATTAATGATGGGGATAAACAATTATTACTGTTATAAAATTTTTCTAAAAACAATTTAAAATTATCATCATTATCTAAATCTAAATTATTATTTGAGAGATTGATTTGCTCTATTGAAATTTGATTGAAGGATTTAAAATTATTGAAAATTGTTCTGTATGTATAGCTTGTCATTAAATTATTAAAATCATTACTATTATTATTATTGTTATTATTGAATGAAAGATCTATTATTTTAATATTATTTGTAAAGTTATATAAAACCATTATTATACCTAAATATGATAGTTGGCATCTTTGAAGTGAAATTTCTTTTATATGATTGAATTTTGGTAAAACTTTATAAAGTTTATTTGAGCCATCCAAACCTATATTATTATTTTTAATAACCAAAGTATTTAGTTTGGGTGTATTTTCTAGTAAGGTTATTAATTGATCTACTGAATCTTTTTCAATCCCAATATCATCAATATTTAATTTGACCAGTTTGTCGAAAGTAATGCCCTCGTCAATTAGCGACTTGAAAGAATCTAAAATTATGTTGGTGTGGTGGCTATTAAATTGTTTTTTAAACACATTTGAACCAATATCTAAGTTTGAACAATTTGAAAGTGATTTGAATAATTGTTTTAATGTTTCAAATGGAAGTTTGCTCAGCGAACATGACCTTGCTTCAAATTCTACTAAGTTTGAAAAAATTGGAGATTCTGAGAGTAATTGGAATCCTCTGTCTCCTATATCTGGATTACCTGATATTTTTAAATTTGACAAATGTTTTACTGATAATAATGAGTTTTTTATTACTTGAATAGATTCGTTATTTAATTGACAATGGCTAATATTTAACGAGGTAATGTTATTTAAGTTGAAAAATAGTGTGGGTTTTTGTGTTGGGGAAATTGTTGTGGATGTTATTAGAGGTGGTGAATATTTATTTAAATTTGAAAGACTATTAAAACGGATATCTAAATGTTTTAGCTTTAATCTGCTTGTGTATTTTGATAAAGCTTGAATTGAGGATGAATTTAGTCTGCAATTAATTAGATATAGATATTCGGTATTTGAAAGAGTTTGTAAAATTAGACCTAAATGCTCCACTGATTGGTTGTTATTGAATATTTGATCATTGATATTAACTGATGTTATGCCCTTTCTATTTCTAAATGTTTCTAAATAATATTTAGTTGCAGTTGCATTTATAGTCGAGTCATTAATTCCATTTTCAATATCGCTATAGTAACCATTTTCTAAATAGTTTTGATCATCTTTTAAATATAATTCATCTGAAAAGCTAATGTCACTTTTAAGAGCGGTATTAAAAATTGATTGTATTTTTTTGCCAATGTATTTGATTAACTTGCTATTCATATTAATTGTATGTGATTGAAGGGTGAAACTTGAAATTGTAATATCCATATTATGGCTAGTTAACAACTTGATTCTTTCATCACATCTTTCTTTTAGCCAATTGAAATCAAATTCTTTGGTATGGGCACCGATTATTGGAATATATAGTTTAATTTCTAAAAATATTTGCACCTCTATAATTTCATAATTGTCAGTATTTGAAAAAATGGGCGATAGTGGTGTTTTAGGTGTTGAAAGGGGTGACAGTGGGTTTTGGTTTTTTGTTGGAGTTTTAATTGGTGATTGAAATAGTGGTGGTGGTTTAATTGGCGATGTCTCTTCAAAATCGTCACTAACAATAAAGTTTTTGGTAAAGCACGGTTTTAAATTACCATTAGCATCATAGTGATCTGGTTCATGGTACTCCTCTTCTTCATAATCATCTTCAATCACTCTTGATTCGTTTAATTTGCTTTCTTGATCTTCTTTCTTGCTAAATCTTTGGAACCTGTTGAAAAAGTTTTTTTTATTTGCACCAATTTGGGAACTGTTGTCAATATCATTATCATTATCTTCTATAACAATAAAATCTCTACCGGGATTATTTGTGGAATTATTACAAGCTTCAACAGGTTTTGGAAGTTGTAAAGGGTCATTCTTTTTTTGATTATCACGAAAAACAGGTTTCCCAGTTGCCCTATCATATACGATACCATCAATTTCTTCAAACCCAGAGCCAATATGAAAATTTGATCTTGTTTTCTTATTTGGTGTAAAGTCCTTTGGAACATTAGTCGAATCTAAATATCTTTTGTTGTTTTCATTAATTTTGATTTGTTTTAAATAATTTTCGTTGATAATTTCGTTGTTTTCTAATTTTTGTGAAATTTTTTTATTTCTTAATTCTTCTAATTTGTTTTTTTTAATTGATGAATAATAACTGTAATTACTATTAACACTGGCTGAACTACTATTTGTAATACTTTCAATGTCATTATTATTATCGTTACTATTATCATAATTATTGTTATAATTATTATCATTGTCATTATCATAACTATTGTTAAAACTATAATTATTACTATTATTATTGTTGTTGTCGTTAATATCATTGCTATTGTCAGTTGCATTGTTTTCTAAATATAACAGGTCCTCCAATGATAAATTTTCGAATGATGCATTGTAATCATTATCATCAGGACACCTTACTACTATCTGACTATTATTTGGATCCAGTTTATCGCTTGAATGTTCTAATAGTTTTTTTATTTTATCTTCTTTTTTTGAATATTCCCTAAACTTTTCCATATCGGTTGATCTTTGATAAAATGTTGCAGTATGGGAAACAGCGATTAACAAAAGATCCAATAGCTCTTCCTCAGTAGCTTGGCTATTCTCTTGACCCTGCTTTAGTAACTCTAGTTCCCTTTCAATTATTTTTTCTGAATCTTCCAATAAATACAAATTTGTATTATATTTATTCCCTTGGCCAAGGGAATAACTCTTCTTTTTCAGTTGGTTGATGTTATCCCTTGAATTGTATAGGTTTACCATTATATATGCCTTTAAATAGTTATTATCCTCTATAGCTTCGCCCTTCAATACCCTTTCATTAAACTCTAAGGATTCTGTAAAATATTTTTTCTTTTTTTGATTATCATAAATACATGATAAATCTTTATAAATCCTAAACAATCCATTTCTATCATTTAAGTAACCATATGACTCTTCCAGTAATTTCCAATATTTAATTTTCTAAATAAAATAAACTAGTTAGCTGATTGAACTTTATTAATGAAAATTATTTTGTAAAATGTAGAATAAACTATAATATTTGTACAAACCTTATCTACAAATAACCTATCATCGAATGGGTATAATAATTCTACAATTGGTTCTATGGCTTTTATTCTTTTGAGATGGTAGTCAGTCCCCCTATCTGTGTCACTATATGCATTCGAAAAAGTATGAAATGACTTTTCGTATTCTACTATGGTATCTTTATCTTTAACTAGTTCGGCAATGTTATAATTTTCTTTCATTTCTTTGATCACATTCAAAACATATACATCAGTTGAAAAAGTACTGGATAATTCTTTTAAAACTTGTCCAAATTCTTGATACTCACCATGATAGACCAAAGATTCCAATAATCTTTTGTTTGCCTCTATATAATCTTCTTTTCTTAATTCTTTTTTAATTTTTTTAATTTCCAACTTGAAATAATATATTGCTTTTTCAAAGTCATTACATTCAAATGATATTTTACCTAAATTATGGTAAATGCTTTCTTTTATATATTTTTCACCAATATTTTCGATAACTATAATAATATGGAATAATGTTAAAATACAGTTTATGTAAATATATAAAATAAAATTAATGCATACTTTTTTTATATAATATAAATGAAGTTTCAAACTGCTCTAATTCTTTATAATACAAATCTGCCAAACTTTCTAAATTAGCAATATAGTTTTCAATGTAGACTTCATTCTTCTCATTTTTCTTTAGTAATTTTGCTGAATATTCATAAGCCTGGGTAAAGTAATTAATTGCTTTTTCGATTAATGGAAATGGACTAACTTTGTTTTGGTCCAATGCTTCTATATCCTCAACATATCCCAACCCGATGTAATGATAAACCTCGAAGGAAATTTGATTGTACTTTTCAATTGAAATATTAAACCTTTTACCTTGTTCTTCTTTTTCTTTGATTAATTGGTTTTGATATAATTTGATTTTATCTGCTATTTGATTTCTCTTTTTAGATGTTTTGTAAAACCCATATTTTAAATACTGCACAAGCACAAACAAACAATTGTAACAATCGGTATCACCAACTTCAATACCCGCAGCTTGAAACTCTTCAATTAATTTGTAACCTTCTTCGCATTTCTCTTTAATTTTACATTGACTATCATAATTATTCGAATTTTTATTTAAATAATTAATTCTATCTACTATTCTTTGTAATTTTTCCATACTATACAAATGTTATTGATATAGAATATATATATAAACAATATTATTATTTCATTATAATATTTTCATTAAAACAATTTAATTTAAAAAAAAAAAATTTTAAAAAAAAAAAATATTATTTTAAATTTTAAAAAATTTATTGGAAAAATTTTAGAGGGAAAAAACTGTACATAAAAATATATATAAGGTTGGTGTTATTGATTTTTATAATGATTTATAATAATTTAATAACTAAATCACTATTATAACAATGATTAATTGATTAAGTCTATTTAATCTTTATAAAATTTTTATATGGACCAGTATTTTTTCTTTTGAAGAGCTTCTTAACCTTCTTGATACTCTTTTTGATACTTTTAAAAAAAAAAAAAAAATTATTAGAATGATTTATAATTTATGAATAGTAATTGTAATTAAGATTGCTTACCCTTTCTTTAAAACATTGAAGAGAAGAACAAAGATTTTACCAAAGTTGTATGTCTGAATCTGCTTATTATTTGATTTCTTTTCATCTTCGTCATTGATATGTTGATAGCTCTTATTATTTGTTGAACTGCTATTGCTATTATTATTGGTATTATTTGAAATGTTATTGTTTGTGTTGTTATTATTATTTTTAGTTTCTTGATTATTTTGATCATTTGTTATTGATAAATTTTCTAAAACATTTAATTTTGAATCTGAAGATTTTAATTGTTTAATTTTTTGTTCTTGTTCTTCAACCATTTTTTCTAAATCATAAATTTTTTCTTTCATTTTTTGGCAATAGCATTCGATTTGTAAATGATAGTTTATATCTTGTTCAGTTTTACCGGTATAGCAACAACCTAAATCTTTATTTGGGCAAAATCTATTACAAAAGAATAAACTTGTACTAGATTCCCACAATGCATTATTATCGAAATAATCATTATTTTCGTTATTATTATTGATAAATTTATTTGTTGAAGTAGTGTTGTTATTATTTAAGCTATTGGTATCAGTATTGTTATTATTTGCTAATAAAGGTAATTCTAATGATAATGATGATGGTAATAGTTTAGTGGTTAATAATTGATTTATAGTATTATGGTTATTATTATTTATATAGTTATGTATATTAATATTATTATTACCATTATTATTAAGAGCGTTATTAAGAGCATTATTAGCATTATTAGCATTATTAGCATTATTATTTATATTAAACTCTGGTGAAGACATAAATTCAAATGATGGTGATTTTGATGTTGAATTACTAGATTTAGGACTTGTGTCAACTGGTGAAGAAAAGTTTGATAATGAACCAGATCCAGACATTTTCATTTCATAGAAATCTTGATAACTGAGTGATGGTGACTTTTCATTTACTGGATTATACTTGCATACGGATTCATGTGCAATTTTTGATCCATAGCTAATTACACAACTGCAACCGTTAATTTTAGTAGTGATTTCTCCAGTTACTGGGTTTTCTTCGACACCATATTGGCAATAGCATAATAACTGATCGATTTCGTCTATTTTTTCATATTTTTTAAAATAAAAAAAATAAAAAAAAATAAAAAATTAATTTTTAAAAAAAAAAAAAAAAAAATTTTAAAATTAAATATTCACCTTTTAATTGATTATTTACGCAGGTATCACTAATATCGCATCCATCTACTGGGCAACATGTTAACGATTCAATGCAAAATGAACAAAAACAATGTGAACAATTATTTTCGATTGGTATATCCTATTATAAAATATACATTATATAATTAGAGATAAAAAAAATTTAGATATAGAAGATTATAGCTACTAACCATTAAACCCCCATGATAGGTGCATAAAAACTTATCATCTGTTGGTGGTAATACAAATAATGTTTTTGAAAGGTCCATTAAAAAATAATATATAATATTATTAAATACGATTATTAAAGAATTATTAAAAAAAAATTTATTGTAATAATTTAATTACTTATAATATAAATTATATAATTAAAACAATTAATATAATAGATGAAACTAAAAAAAAAAAAAAAAATTAAAGGAAAAAAAAAAAATGATAATTTTAATTTTAATTTTAATTTTTTTTATTATTAAATTAAATTTAAAAAATTTAAATTATAAAAAAAGAAAAAAAAAAATTTATTTGAAGTGTTTGTGTGTGTGTTGAATTTAAGAAAGTGTGTGTGAAAAAATATAATTATTATGAAAATTATTATTATTTTTATTATTTTTATTATTTTTATTATTTTTATATCAATTGTATTATTACAAACATCAATATTGGAATTCAAGGTATATATAATTTTTTGTTTGTTGTTTTTTTTTTTCTTTTTTTATACAAATTTGTATGTAAAAATACAAAGATAGATATAATGGGGTATGTGTGATGATCAAAATAAAAAAAACAAATTAAAAAAAAAAAATAGGATGGGTGTGTGGGTAGTGTTCATATTAAATAAAAAAAATTTAATGTGTGTTTATGCATTTTTGTGTTGTTACTATATTGAATTTAATTTATTTATATAGTTTATTTTTAGAAAATAAAAAATAAATATTATTTTTAGTAATTATATTTAAAAAAAAAAAAAAAATAGAAGTCAATAAACAATTCAACCTGCTAAATTTAAACACATTAAAAAAATTAAAAAAAATAATTTAAAAAAAATAAACAAAATTTTTTTTTTTATTTTCATAAAAACTTTAAAATTTTCACCTATTTTTTATCATAAATTTTTTTTATATAACAATAATAAAAATAACTGATCTCTAATTACTAATTCCTTTTTTTTTTTAAATTATTTTTTTATTCTTTTATTTATTTTATCAGGAATTTTATTTTAAAATAAAAAAAATTTTGTAGCAATTATTTTTTCTCTTGGATTCTAAATAAAAAAATAAAAAAATTTATGTGATTATTTTGTTAAATATAAATAAAAGTTTAGAGTTAAATTTTTTTATTTAATGTGTAAAATTAATAATAATTTTTTTTTTATATACTATTAAAATTTTTGTAAAAACAATTCAATATCATGATGATAATTTTTTTTCAATTTTGGATATTTTAAGTCATAGCTTTTTTTTGGGTAACCTTCATTAAATTGGTGGTTTCTTTCTGAAAAAATAAATTTTTTTTTAATCATTAACCAAAGTTTAACACTATTTTATTAATTTTGAATAATTTTTTTATTTTAATAATTGAATGAATTCATTAATCAATGTTTTGTAATTTTTCGGTGTATGATAGTTTCCCTTTAAGAAGTATGAGTTAAATATTTTTTGTTAATAAAAAATCTATTGTATTTTTTGTACTACTATTTAAACTCAAATTTTTTTTTATAATAATAAATTGAGCAAGGCATGGCCTTTATTAAAATATTTTTATTCAATTTAATTTTTGATTTTTAATTTTGGTTATTTTTTTATTTTTTATTTTTATAGTACATTACTTATATTCTGTATCTTTCCAAATGTATCAGTATTTTCAGTTTAAAGATATCTTAATTAAGTCCATGCCAACTTATTAACTTTTTGTTAATTAAAAAAAAAACCGAATACTTCCATTTTTTTTTGATTTACATGAATGCAAGGGTAGGAAAGCCTGGTTAAATCCGTGTGACTTAAGATCTCATCCTGTCGGTTCGCGAGTTCGAATCTCGCCTCTTGCAATATTTTTTCAAAACTTTATCTTCCGGGAGTTTTGTATTAGAATTAGACACAGCATAAAAGGTGTAATGTATTCATATGCATAATAAATTATTTAAAATAAAGGAAAATATAAATATATTATTTAGTTGAGATATAATAATAACTGTAATATTCATTTAATTCTAAAATGCATTTGAATACATTACAACAGTTATTTAAACACCAAAAAAAAAAACAAAAAACAGGATTCTATACTAGCCAGTGGCTAGTTAATCTTTAAGTGGTGGTATTTCACTGATGGCTTTGCCTCCCACCTATTCTACACCTTTATTGATTTGTTATTGCTGTGAGAATCCTTGATGGTTAGGGAGAAAAAAAAGTTTTTATACTATCTTTTTTTTAAAATTTTTTTTTTTTATGGTATAAGTTATTAAATAAAATTTACTTTTTTTCCAATAAATTTAACAAAAATTAAAAATATCTTGTTTTTTTAAATTAATAGTCAAAATTTTAAAAAACAAAATTATGACCAACTTTTAGAAACTTAAATAATATAATTATAAATAACGAAATAAAATATAAAAATACAAAGTTTTTTAAAATTTATTTAATAAAAAAAAATTCATGTAAAGAGGGTAAGGTTTACAATAATACAGAAAATGTGTAATTTTTTTTTTTTTTTTTTTTAAAAGTGAAGATAATTAAAAGCAAATGCTTTAAACTAATCAGTAAAATAAATGTGTAATGAACAAGGTTCATTACTTAGTGTAATGTATTCATATGCATTTTAGAATTAAATGAATATTACAGTTATAATTATATCTCAACTAAATAATATATTTAAATATCATCAAAGAAACTATCCTTAAATCACATGTTCAACTTTATTGGAACATTTTAACCTCACTTACATCTCTTTTAGAACTACAAGATCCAATTGCTCAATGGAGAGTCGAAGCCTCAATGGCCTCATTATTACGTTTACCTGAAGGTATGGTCTATAACTCTGAAGGGCTCCCAGTTTTCTTAAAATTCTTGGGTAAAATTACCAATTTCAACTCATACTCATCCTCATCTTTTTCTGCAATGACAAACTATCTACCGATCCAAACTGATGAATTTTTAAATTGGAAATTAAAAAACAAAGATATAATAATTAAAACAATTAGAGATAGATAAATTTAAAAAAAATAATAAAATTTTTTTTTATTAAATAAATTTTAAAAAACTTTGTAAGATCCAATCAGTTTAGAAAAAGACCGCCAATTAAATCAGCACTAATTAAGTTTTTCGCTCTAATCAACTATTTGATTTATATCAGACATTGTTCTGGCCAAGCAACTCTGGTATCGTAAAAAACAACTTTGATTATTATTGTTATTAATCTAAATTAAAAAAATATATATATATAAAGTTAATTTACCAAAGTAATTTAAGCTATGTTATAATTTCTAATTTAAAGACAAATATTTTTTTTTGGTAGATATATTATATCTATGGGAATTGAGTGTTGGGTTTTATATAAATAATATACAAAAAACAAAAATGGAAATACCATAGTTATTAAATCAATTATCCATTTTTGAAAAGTAATTTCTAAAAGAGAAATTTAAATTAATATATTATTATTTTGTAATTGAAAAAATTATGAAGAGGAATAAAAAAAAAAAAGAAATTTTTTTTTAAAAAATGAAAAAAAAAAAAGAAATAAAAAAAAAAAAGAAATAAAAAATTAAAAAAAAAATATTTTCAATCTGTTTAATTTTTTTTGAAATTTCTATAGTGTGTTGTTTCATTGAAATATATTATAGCTCTATAGTAAATATATATAATTTCATTGACTTTTCAACCATAATTCATTGGAAATTGTATATCATAATTATTTTGTATATGTAATAATAATTTTGTATATATAATAATAATTTTATGAAAATTTCATAGAGGGGTTGTAATTAAAAAATTAAAATAATAAAATTAATTTTGGTCATAGGTAGCGGGTAAGTGAAGCTTCAAATTCTCCTCAGCTCACTATCTAAAATTAAATTTTCCAAATAAAAGACCCTTTTAAAATTTATAATGAAGTTCTATTAAACTTTTATATTCACAAATCACAAATTTTAATAAGAAATAAATTATAATAATGTCACAAATTTATAGAAGTATCTAATGAATACAAAATTCAGTTAATTTTTTAGGTTATATGTATTATGTATTAGGTTTTAAGGTCTCGAGTAATAGATAATAATAATATATATGGGGCTGTGTAACAGCTCTTGGTGCTGGTGGTATTATCATGTCAGGGAAACACAAATGCTGCAAAATATTTAGAAACATTAATATACTTGTTAATCTTTATGAATGAATCCCAAGAAAAATACATCAAAAAAATTATAATAAAAGTTGATTACCGAAATATTAAAAAAAAACTATTAAAAAAAAACTTCGAATAAAAAATAAAATTTAAATTATCTTTTTAAAAATTATGAACCCATTGTTTTTTTTAATAAATAAATTCAGATGTTCTAAAATATATTTAATTTATTTTTGAATACAGTAATTTAAAAGGGTCAAACTTTAGCGAAATAATGTATATATTGTTTCTTTTGAATTTTTAATAGATTTTTAAATATGCCTCAGTTGGGTTCAATTTTTTAGATTTCATCAACTCTTCCCCGTTGGTCTAGTGGTGAGGATTTTCGCCTGTCACGCGAAAGGCCCGGGTTCAATTCCCGGACGGGGAGTCTTTATAAACAGCTTTATCTTTCGGGTGATATTATCCTATAACTTGCCTCAAATTGGAAAATATATATTTATTTGCATTTTCACTTTTAAAAAATGTAAAAAACACATACCCACTATAATTAAAGCATTTTTCGAAACCCTGTCTCAGCAGGTTTTCCAAATCACACACGAATTGACGTTACCGTGCCCAACTTGTATGCAGTGTGGTAAAACTCATAAGTATTAAACACATACCAAACAAAAACAAACACATAAACAAACTGATGACTTAATGCATCATTAAAAATTATCCTCGCTTTTAAAAAAAAAAAAATTTTATTGCGGATATGAAAAAATATATTATTTTATTAGGTTTTTGAAAGCATTAATGTTGATATTCTATATAGCTTTGTTTTAAAAGATACATTTTCATCAACAAAGTTGCAATCTATTTTAAAGGGTTTTAATTGATTAATGATAGTATTTGGTAAAATTTCATTATTTATATCTGAAACTGAATATAGGTTTTTATTATTTTTACCCGCACTAGTACTATCACCAACGTTATTATTTACAATATTTTGTTCTATTATTTTTAAAGTTTTACAATTAATGATATCTGATAAATGGAATTTATATTGAGTACCATTTGACTTTTGGATCTCTTCAATATTTAAATTTGCAAAATAAATTGATAAATTATTATTATTATTATTAACTGAATTACTGTTGATATTATTAATATTATTAAAATCTGAAACTATTGATTTAAACTTTTCTAAGTTTAATTTATCTTGATTTTTAATTTGATTTAAATCTTCATAAAAATCATTTAAAATAAATAAAATTTTTGATACGCTATTATTATTTTCGTTGTTATTATTACTATTATTATTATTATTGTTAAAAAATAAATTATTTAATTCATTAAATATTTCTTTTTCGTTTCTATTATTGTTTTCATTGTTATTTATACTTGGGCTACTACTTATATTTGGGCTATGGTCGCTACTGTTACTATCACTACTATAAATATTCTCTGTACTTGAGGTATCACTACTATTATTACTATTGCTTTCTAATTTTCTTTTACCAGTTTTCATAATTTTGTGTAATAAAGTTACTCTATAACCATCAGTTACAGTTTGAATTTCGTATGATGTTTCAGAAGTGAATGCTGCATATTTTATAATAAATGAAGTTGGTTCTTGCTCTACTTCTAAAGATATAACAGTTCTGTCTGATCCATTATTTAAAATTAAATTGCCTCCCTTGTGAGTTGAAGGTAAAACCAAACCCATCGTTCCCACCAGATTTCTATTTGCAACAAGGTCATTATAATCACTAATTTCTGATTTTGATTTTATAAAATGTGCTACTGCAGAATCTTTATTATATATTAACATTTTGTACAATTGAAGCGTTATTTTTTCTTTATCGTCTATTCCCAAACCAACTTTGATTTTTTGTATCATTATCTTTTTTGTTGTTGCCCAAATATCATTATCAAATGTTAATAAATCTATTGGTATTTCGTAAACTCCTGAATAAATAAAAAATAAAAAAATAAAAAAAAGATTTATATTAATTAAAAATTATATAATTGAAATCAAAAATAAACAAAAAAAAAATTCCGAAATTTTTTATTTGAAAAAAAAAAAAAATTAATTTTACCTTTATATGTGGTTCTATATTTAAATCTCTCTATTATTTCTTTTAATTGTGATTCAATGCATGGTACCTGTAAATATCCAAAATCTCGAATTGTAATGGATATTGGTGAAGAAACTTGGCCATGGCAATAATAGTTTGCTTTTAAAAATGTTTCATTTTCTTGTTGCCCAATTAGAAACGTGATCTTTTCTAAACTTTTATTATATTCTTTTATTAACCTATATTTATTTATATTCGTATTTAAAAAAAAAAAAAAAAAAAAAAGTTAGATTTTATTTATTTTTAATATTCCCTTTAAATTATTATTTTGTTTTATTATTATCTATCGTTGTTTTTTTTTTTGGTATTTAAAAAATATTTATTTACATTTTCCATTGAAACTATATTTAAAACTAAAAAAATAATAATAAAATATTTATAGTCTATATTAAACAGAGTAAATATATAAAAACCCACAAAATAACCTACAAAAACTTTTTTAAAAATTTTTTTTTAAATAAATATTTTTAAAATATCAAAAAAAAAAAAAATAAAAAATAAAAAATAATTAAATAAAATTTAAAAATAAAAAAATCAAAAAAAATATTATAAACTTTTTTTTTTTTTTTTTAGTTTTTTTTTATTATTTTTATTATTTTTATTATTTTTATTATTATTGTTATTTTTACCAAAATAAATAAAATAAAACTATATTTGATTGAATTATAATAATTATATTCCAATTTGAGACTTGATTACAAATTCCATAATTTCATTCATAAAAAAAGTATCTTTTTCTTCAAAATAACCCCCAAATTTGGCATTGTTGTTTAAAGATTTATTTTTGAAATCCACACCCGAGAAATCTGAATAATTTTCTAATGTTCTGGTGGCACCCAATCCATATTTAGATTCGATTTCACCTATTTGGTTGTCATTTTCTAAACCAAATAATTTTAATAATCTTTTTTTTGAATGATTTTCAATTTTAATGGTTTCATCTGATTTATTTTCTCTGAAAGTTGGTCTGTAATCTCGATTCCATAAATGAAAAATAATAGTTTTGGTGGGTGAATAGAAATTGAAACCATGTGTATAAAGACGTGCTGACATTGAAATCTCCTCACCAAAAAACAAATGTTGTAAATTTGGATCGTATGGCACCTCTTTAATTACATTCGATCTTGAAAAACTGAAACCAGACACCCAGAACAAAGATTTGCAAGGACTATCCAATTTCTTTGAAATAATTTTACCACCTAATCTGAGGAAACCGTCATCACCAAACTGGGTGGCAACTAAAAGGATGGGGTATCTGTGTACTGGTATTTTATTTGGTAAGGTGTATCCCATTGGATAGCATGTGAGTATAGCATTGGTATCGACTGATCCATTTACTTTGCACATTTGTAACTGCTCTATTAAAATCTTGTCCCAATCCTTAACAAATCGCATGTGGCTATCTATCTGTAAGTAGTATTCCTCATCACGATAAAGCTGTTGTTGTACCAATGCCCTTGCATAACATGGTCCCTTGGCATCCCTATAGTCCATTCTTAAATACCTGATATGTTTCGATTCGTACTCCTTATCGACCTGATATTCGAAACAATGTTTATCACCCTCCCCATTACCCATATCATATTGTAAGCAAACCCCTATATATAAACTATTTGGCTGATTTGAATTTTCTATTAAATTTTTTATGGTCCATTGACATTCTATAAATGGTTATGATTATTATAAAAATTAATTATTAATTTTTTTTTAAAAAATTTCATTGAAAACTATCTATATATACCAGAATCTCTATAACTAATAATTGATATAAATATATTTCCATTTTCCATGTTTGATGTAATTTTAAATAATTTAATTTTATAAAAAAATTAAAAAAAAAAAAATTAAAAAAATTAAAAAATTTAAAAAAAAAGCATTATTCGTTTTTTTTTTTATTTATTGTAATATTAGAAAAATATCTATCTTTTCATATTAATTAATTTTATTATTAAAATAAAATCATTTATATTGTTTATAATATGATCAATAAAATTGTGCCTAGATTGCATAAAAAGCCATTACCTCTCCCAAAAGATTTCCCATCATATGACTCATCAAACTATTTTAAATTTGAAGTAATCCATCAATCTAAAAAATCAAATGCAAGAGTAACAAGAATAACAACACCTAATGGAATGTAAGTTTTTTTAATAGAAACACACCACATACAAATTTAAACCTGCCTCTAACATTGGCATTAAACAATAGTATAAACCAACCAAATTTTGTGCCAGTGGGTACTATAGGTTCAATTAAATTTTTAGATCCAGTTCACACCAAAGAAACCAAATCACAACTCATGTTTGTAAATACATATCATATGGTAGTCAACTCAAATCCAGATTTAATAGAAAAGGCAGGTGGACTACACAAATTTATAAACTATCAAAACCCAATTATAACAGATAGTGGTGGTTTTCAAGTATTTTCGATGGGTCACCCAGAATTAAATAATAACAATAATTTAGATCTTACAAACGAAGTAGATGCTGAAATTGATGTAAACAATAGTAAAATAACAAATCAAGCGGAGATTACAAAAAGAGAATTAAAAGGTATGTCTGGTAAAAAGTATCCAGGATCAATTATATCGATTACAGACGAAGGTGTAACTTTTAGGTCATATAAAAATGGTAATAAAATTTCTTTGGGTCCTGTCTCTTCGGTACAATATCAGAAGAAACTTGGTGCCGATATTATTATACCATTTGATGAATTACCACCATATCACATGGACGAACAAAAAATTTTAGAATCACTTCAGAGAACACATCATTGGGAGGCAATTTCCTTATTAGAGCATATTAAAGATCCAAGAAAGCAAGCAATGTATTGTGTTACACATGGTGGTGTAAACGTTGAAATGAGAAAGCAATCAATCAATTATTTAACCTCACTTCCATTTGATGGTGTAGCTATTGGAGGAAGTATTGGTAAAGATCGTCAAGAAATGAAGCAACTTTTATCATCAATTATGCCCTTTGTTCCAAAAGATAAACCAAATCATTTATTAGGTATTGGCGATTTAGAATCAATAGACTCATTGATTCCATTAGGTATTGACAGCTTTGATTCATCATATCCCACCAGATTAGCAAGACACGGTAATATTTTATTAACAGATGGAACTTCTTTTGCAATTAAAAGAGATGAAAATCAATATAAATTGGACCAACCATTAGAAAAAGGTTGTGATTGTCACACGTAAGTAAATAATACTTTATTTTATAAATTAAAAAAAGTAAAGGCTAACATATTTTTTTAATTTATAGATGTAAAAATTATTCAATGGCTTATATTTTCCATCTTTTTAAATCAAACGAACAAATTTATTTCACTCTATCCTCTCAACATAATTTAAGAGTGATGAACAAGATCATGGAAAACTATAGAAATAAAATATTGGCAGACGAAATTTAAGTTATAAAAAATTAAATAAAAATAAATTTTAAAAAAAATTTAAAACACTGTTGAAGCACAAAATTTTATAGAATAAAATTATATAAAAAAAATAAAATTATATAAAAGAAATAAAAGTTTTTTTTTTTTTTAAATTATTAATAAATTATTTATTAAAAATTTATTGTTGGGTGGTGTGTTTGTAGACACGGATGAGGTTGTCTGAATAACCAGCATATAAGATTTGACCATCAGCAGACCAGGCAAGTGATTTGCAAGCTGGGAGACGTGGTTTGCTTTCCTTCTTTTTCTTTGAGTCTGATTGTTGAGCTTTGATTTCTGGGGTGATTTCAGCTAAAACTTGTTTAGTGAGTAAATCCCAAATGATGATTTTGTCATCAGTGGCAGCAGATAACCAATATTTGTTTGGTGAGAAAGCAAGAGCATTGATGGTACCACGAGCTTCGAGTTTGTATAATGGTTTACCTGATGATAATTCCCAAAGACAGGCGAATTGATCTTTACCACCTGAGGCACATAATGAACCATCTGGTGAAATGGTGACGGTGTTGACGTAACCAGCATGATCTTCAAGGGTGTGTGAGCATTTGAAGGATTTGATATCCCAGATTTTAACTTTGTTATCCCAACCACCAGAGACAATAGTTGGTTGATTTGGTGAGAATCTAACACATGAAACCCAGTCTTGATGACCGTCTTGACCTTCTAAAGTGAATTTACATTCACCAAGAGTATTCCAGACTTTGATGGTGTGATCTCTTGAACCAGAGACGATTTGTCTGTTGTCTGATGAGAAAGCAACTGACATAACATCTTCAGTGTGACCTTGGAAGATACGGGTGGTTTCACCTTTGGTGATATCCCAAAGACGAAGGGTGGTATCCCATGAACCTGAGAGAGCGAATTGACCATCGTGTGAGATGACAACATCTTGGACAAAGTGGCTGTGACCTTTTAATGATCTTAAAGCTTTACCTGGGGTTTCTGGGTCAGCTGGGGTAAGTTTCCAGACCATAACAGTTCTATCTCTTGATGAGGAGATGATGGTTTCTGGGTTCTCTGGTGAGACAGCAATTGAAGTGACATCACCGTTGTGACCAACTAATGAACCGACTTCGAGGTAGTTAACCTAATTATAATAAAAATTATTTATTAAAATTTAAATTTCTTTTTTTAATATTGTTTATTTATTTATTTATTTTTAATTATTTGTTTTGATCTATTATTTTTTTTATATTTAGCTATATGATATTATTTTGTTTAATAATAAAAATATATTTATTTTTATTTATTGTTGCATTATTTATTGTTGCCACTTTATTATTTTTTATTTTTTTTTACATACTTTGACGACTTGTTGTTCCATTTTATTTAATGTGTATACAAACTGAAAAAAAAAAAAAAAAAAAAAAATTTTTCCGATAGTCGAATCAAAAAAAAAAAAAAAAAAAAATTTTGGAAAAAAAAAAAATTAAAAAAAAATAAAAAAAAAAAAACATTGATTATTCCTGTAGTTCGTTACACCATAGCATCAAACAAAAATAGATTTATAATTTTACATTTTAACAAAAAAAAAAAAAATATATACATATATACACAAATAAAAATGAATAAATATTGAAATAATATCAAAAAAATCAAAAAAATCAAAAAAATCAAAATTATATAATTAAAATAAATTATATAATAAAAACAAATAAAAACAAATAAAAACAAATAAAAAAATATATAAAAAAAGTTTTTTTTAATTAAATGTTTTTTTTTTATTGCTGTTGCAACATATAAATCTATTGTTTTATTCTAAATTAATATATTTAGTTTAGATTATTATAATTTAATATTTTTGTGTGTGTCTTAAATTAAAATAATTTGGTTATTATAAAAAAAATAAGAAATTTGTGGGGTCCTCAATCGATTTTTGTGTGTTTTAATTTATTGAGAATTAATGTAACAAAATCAAACAAAATTTTTTTTTATTTATTTTTATTATAATAAATCTAATACAAATACAATCCAAACAAAAAAAAAAAAAATCAAATTTAGATGGGTTAAAACTGATTTTATAAAAATTATTTTAAAAAATAAATTTAAAAAAATTAAAATAAAATATTTAAAAAAAAAAAAATTAAAAAAAAACAATAAAAAAATAAAAATAAAAAAATTAAAATAAAATTTTGTACTATTGTAAAAAAAAAAAAAAATAGTAATAATATATATATAATTTTCATTTTCTTTTTGTATTTTTATAGCTTTTAAATTATTGTTTTATCGACAAGTTGCTTAATTTTTGTTTATTTTCTTGTGTTTTTATTGTTTCTTATAGTCATTTGTAGCTTTGTTGTAAAATTATAAATAAAATATAAATTCTCAATATCTTAAAAAAAAAAAAATCACAAATAATCATAATCTATAATAAAAAAAAAAAAAAATATCATCAGTGTAAAATATATAAATATAAAATAAAAAATAGAAATAAATAGAATTAAATAAAAATATATTTTTTAAAAAAAAAAAATAATAAATAATAATAAATTCAATATTTATTTCCTATATCATCAGACGAAACACTTAATTATTCCGATTTAATAAGGTATATTTAAATTAGTTATATAACAAATAAAAAGTAAATATATAATAGATCATAAACCACTCAACATTAAACTATATTCATAAAATAGATATAATATGAAAAAAAAAATAAAAAAAAAAAAATAAAAAAAAATAACACAGGGATAAACACACAAAATAGTTACTCACAAAAATACATACAACATTCGAGTTTTTTTTTTTTTTCAACATGACACATATAAAAATAACCCCTCCCCAATTTAATATATAAATAAAAATATTTACACAATCTAACACACATATGTTTGAGGTATATTTTTTTCAATTTATTATAGCTTTTATTTCAAACAACTCATAAACCCATAAAATTAAATTAAATTAGAAAAAAAAAAAAACTCACTATCATTTTTCAAAATTACTTTATTATTTAATTCTTTCTACACCTACTCACACACCCACACAAATAAATTCACGCGTAACATATATACAGTAAAATATTATAAATAGTGGAAATCAAAATTATAATAATAATAAAATTTTAATAATTATTTTTTATTTAATACAAAATTTTTTTTTAAATATTAAATAACCAAAATTTAGTTTTATATTAGTTATCTATATTTTAATTTATCACCATTTATTTATTTATTTATTTATTTATTTATTTATTTATTTATTTCTTTACTTTAAAATCATATTAAAAAAAAAATATATTAATTATTTTTTATTTTTTTAAAAAAATAAAAGAAAATTTAGTTTAAAAATTTCTTTTATTTATTTTTAATAAATAGATAAATTATATATATACAGAAAAAAATTAATAAAATGAACATTAAATCGTTAAGGAAAAAAAATATACAAAACCTCGACCAGGAGGAGGTATATGGTAAAATAAAAGAAAATGTATCACATATGGATGAAATTCAAAAGAATTTAGAGAAACAACAACAAACTTTTTTTCAAATGGCACAACAATCTAAACAAATTTCAGAAAGTATGAAAAAGTATTCAATGGATTCAGCATATTATAATAGTCGTATACCAATTTCAGATTGTTTACAAAAGGCATCAGAATGGCAAAGTACAGTTGGTGAAGTTTTTAATCATTTAGGTAATCTTTTATATGATCGTACAACACAACCATTAAAGGAGACAATTAGAATTCAATTAGAAATGGTCAAGGATGGCAAAAAGAGATTAAAGAATTTATCAACCGAATCAAGATCCTCCACCAATTTAAAAAAAGATACAGAAAATTATGATCGTGCCTGCAAAGAAACTGTTCAACTTTATAATGATTCTGAATTGGCTTTAGAGAATTCAACTGTACAAACTGTATTATCTTCATTTGAATCATATATTGACTTTTTCTCAAAAGGTTCTTTCCAAATGGCAAAAATTAAAACCGATATTGATAATTATAAAAAAGTCATTTTAGAAACTGTAAGTTTAATAATAATAATAATAATTAATAATATTTTATAGGTTTATTAATATTTTTTAAATAAGAATAAAGCGGCAGCTAAACTAAGAAATTATGTACCAAAAAAAACATTTGGAGTTAAATTAGAAGAAGTATTTGGTAGAGAGGGCAATAGGGTCTTACCATTGTTTTTGGATGAAATTTTTAAATATTTAGAGAAGGAATCAATTAAAGTCGAAGGTATATTTAGAGTACCTGCAGGTAGATCATCAGTAGAAGCTTTTCAACAAAAGATCGAGTCAGGAGTTCCATTGGAGTTAAGTAGTACTGTTATTAGTGATCCTCACGTAGTTTCATCAGTTTTGAAACTTTTCCTTAGATCGTTGCCAGAACCAATAATTCATCACAGTATTTATTCAAAATATTTACCACTTTCAAAACAACCAGTAACTCAACACATTGTAGAATTAAAACGTCTTGTATCATCCTTACCAGTTTGTAATCAAACCCTTTTAAAAAATGTATTAAATATTTGTAGTGTAGTAAACCAACATAAAGATGTCACTAAAATGGATTTAAATAATTTATCAGTCGTTATTGGTCCAAGTATCTTAGAAAGTATACCCAATCTTAAAGCTGAGGATCTCCAAAAACCAGAAACTTTTGCAGAATTCAATGCTTTGTTCTCATTAATGGTTGAAAACTGTACCAATATCTTCCCACAAACTAGTGTACCATCTGATTTAAATACTATTGGAAGAGCTAGAGCTCAAACTGAAGTTTCAGCAAGTAAATTATCATCACCAACATCACCAACATCACCAGCTATTAATAAACCATTTTCAGAATCACCACTAAAACCAACATCAACTTTGAATTCATCAGATTTTGTTATTGTTGAAAAATCACCAACTCAGTTATCAGAAAACCACTCAACAAATACAGGAGGCACAAGCAGTAATTTACCATCATCACCATCACAACCAGCTTCGACCAATAATAGCGGTGCTGGTGTAGGTGGTACTGGTAATGCAACACCACTTTCATCCCAATCAACTCCACCATCTTCCTCCAATAATAAACGATCCAATAATAAATCAAACTTCAAACTCGATGATTATCTCACACCAATTGATATGCAAATTTATTATACAAATATTTCATGTAATTTAGGTAGATTGAAATCAAATGTCGATGAAATAGAATCAGTAAATGAAGGTATTGAATTAATTAAAATTTTTAAAAAGATTTCAGATGTAAAGTATAGTTATACTATTAATTGGTCACTTTATAAAATTAATTATTAATTTAAATTTATTTATAGGAACATACAACTTCAATTAAAAATTTATTAAATTATAGTTTTGTTAGAGATAAACCCGCAGTTGGAAATGATGAAGATAGGGTTACTAGAATTAAAAAAACATTATTATACACATACGATATAACTATGGATTTAATTTCAGAAGCAAATAAAACCTTTGAATCTTCAAGTATAGAGGAACCAACTGATATCTCAAAGAAATTAGAAGAGTCATTCAAACAATTGGACGAGTTTTTAATTGTAGAGTTAGCACAAAAAGAAAAAGATATTGAAAAGATAAAAGAAAAAGAAAAGGAAAGAAATAATAGTATTAATAGTGATAAACAAGATACAAGCAGTAACAATAGCGGTGGTGATAGTCCTTTAAATACTTCCTTAGGTCAACTTACTCATTAAAATAATATTAATAATTATAATTTAATAGATCAATATTATTAAAAAAACAAACAAAAAAAAAAAAAACAAAATAAAAATTTAAATTTAAACCATTATTAATGGTTGTAATATATTTAATTATTATAATAATATTTTGTAGTTTTAAATAGTTTATTAATAAAAAAAAAAAAAGATAAATTTTAAAAAGAAAGCAAATTTTAATTTATTTAAATAAAAGATATTACATCAAATTCTTTATACAATTCCTATTTACAATTTAAAAATAATAGTTGCCATTATTTTAATTTATATTATTATAGTTTAATGGTGACTTGATGAGTGACTATTTGAGGAGTGGTTTTCATTTAAAGAGTGGCTATTTGAGGAGTTGCTTTCATTTGATGATTGATTTTTATTTGAGGAGGAGTTTAATTTGTTAGCATCGGAGGAGCTTGAGTGGGTAGTTTTGAAAGCTGGTGATTGTGATGAGGTATCAGGTCTTACTTGAGCTGATGATGATGGGGTTGGGGTAGATGGAGAGGCAGATGGTGAAGCAGATGGTGATTCAGTTGGGGAAGGTACTGGTTGTTGTACGGATGGAGAGGCAGATGGTGATACAGATGGAGAGGCAGATGGTGATACAGATGGAGAGGCAGATGGTGATTCAGATGGGGTGGATGATGGTGATACAGATGGAGATGCAGATGGTGATTCAGATGGAGAATTGGTTTCAGCTGGAGAGGTTGATGGTGATGCACCTGGAGCAGCAACTGGAACTATATTACTTTGTGATGGGGTTGGGTCAGATGGGTGGCTACCAGATGAGTGGCTGTCAGATGAGTGGCTGTCAGATGAATGGCTACCAGATGAATGGCTGTCAGATGAGTGGCTGTCAGATGAGTGGCTACCAGATGAATGGCTGTCAGATGGGTGGCTACCAGATGAGTGTTGTTCGGATGAACCAGTATTTGTGGTAGAGGATGTATCTTTAGCATCTGATGAGGATGGGTGTTGATTGGATGAATTTTCTTCAGATGGGTTAGATGAAATTGGGGCACTTGATGGGGCTGCACCTGGTGCTGTAGCGGGTGATTTGATTTGGGATGTAGAGGATCCTGAGTTTGAATCTGAAGAGTGCTCAGATGAATGATGTTCAGATGAGTGGTGTTCTGAAGATGCTGGTGCAGGTGCAGGTACATTTTCACCCTCTTTGCTATTTGAGCTTTGTTTTAAAAGGTTTTTGATTTCATCAGATGGAGCATTTGAAGATTCCAATGTTGAGGAAATTGAATCAAGTGAATTTAATGATGAAGAATCAAGTGACCCCATCAAACTACCGGATGAACCAATGTTATCGATGGGATTTGAGCTTGAAGAGGAGATAGCTTGGGAGCTTGAGTCACCCATTACACCCTTTTTAATAAATTTAAAATTTATTTTTAATATAAAATAAAAATATAAAATAAATTATTTAAAATTAATACTTACAATAAGGTTTGATAAAGAAAGATTAGCTAAAATAATACAGGCAACTAATAATCTCATTTTTGTTGATATTTTTTATAGTTATTTAATTAATATATAAAACAGATTTGATTTTTAATTTTTTAATTTATTAAATGATTTTATGATTTGATGATTAAAAAAAAAAATAATTGTGTTTAAATACTTTTTAAAATTGAGAAATCAAAAAAAAAAAAATTATATTAATAAAAAAAATTTATATTAAAAATACTTTATTAAAAGTTATTATAATAATCTTTTGGCATTAATTATTTATTATTATAATATTTTAAAGTTTCAATTTATAACCATATTAATTTATTATCATATCATGTAATAATATCAATTAAATAGAAATAACGAGTAATTATAATAAAACAATGATATTATATGAATTCAGTAAAATAATATTATTCTATATTAGGGTTTATCATTTTTAACTAAAATAAGTTAAAAATATAATAAATAAAAATAAATAAAATTTTATTTTTATTAATAAAAAACAAAAACCACCACTAGTCCACACCCACACCCACACTATTTTTAAAAATATTTATTTGTATTAATAGTTAATGAGTGACAATATCACTAAATTTGGAAGCTATGGTTTCAGTATATAGTGTATATCATTTGTGATCTGATAGCTCCCAAAACAAAAAGACTATTATGATAATCTTTGATTTGTATTAAAAATTAGGATATAAAAGATCAAATAGAATGATACACTTGTAAAAAACAATTGAAAAGGATTTAATTATAATAACTTATCGAAAAAAATAGATATAAAAAAAACCTTCAACATTGTTATGTTTAATAGGGTTGGTCAATATTTTATCCACCTATTTTTTTATAATAATATTTTAAGTTTTAATGTAAATAATTTATATTATAATATAAACTTTTATTTAAAATAAGAATAGTATGTATAATATAATTTATAACAATATTATAAGTTTAATAAAATAAACAAAAAATAAATAAATAAATAAATAAAAAAATATATATATCATAAAAAAAAATAAATCAAATAAATAAAAAAAAATTAAATCACCCAACAGATAATAAATATACAAATATATATTTACCCCCAAATTTTATTTCAGTTATTAATTTCTCAATTATCAAGAAAAAAAATCAAATTATAATTAATTTTTTAAATAAATTATTATTTAAATATTTGATATTAAAATATTAGTTTTTTATTTTTTTTTTTAATTTTTAATATTAATTTATTTATTATTTTTTTTTATCAAACTTTATTTTTTTAAACTTATTTTTTTTTTTTGGAGTAAATTGATATTGATAAAAAGAAAAGAAAGTTTATATTATATAAATATTTTTATATTTTTTATAAATTTAATATGAAAATTATAAATCATATTTTTTATTTTATTTTATTTTTTTTTATTTTTTTTATTTTTTTTTCGTTTTCGTCATAAAAAATTTTTTTTTTCAGAACTAAGTTTTTTAAACACTTTAACAATTTAATACAAGTAAAGTTGATTTGATTATTAGTCATATAAAAATAATCATTTTATTGTTTTTCTAAGTTTTATAAATTAATTTTTTTCAAATCAGTTTTTTATATCATAAACAACTTTATCAAATATATGTATTATAATAAAAGAAAAGTCACCAATTTACTTTTTTTTTTTTTTTTTGATTTTTATTTTTTCTAAATTTAAAAATAAATTAAATGATGTTATAAATAGTCTTTTTAAAAAATCTGATTTAATCTGTACATATATCTACTTCGTTTACAAATAGTTTGTAATTAATCAAGGTGATTAATGTATTTTTTATTTGGTGAGCGGAGTGTCGGTGTGTTAAAAAAAAAATATTTTAAAAAAATAAATAATTAAAAAATTAAAAAACAGACACACACAGATATAATTGGTGCATAATCAATATTTTAAATAATAAAATTCATAAAAGATAACTCAGGAGATTTATAAATTTAAAAAATAAAAAAAAAAAACTAAATTATAAACTGATAATATCTTTTACACATTCAAGAAATATTATTTAATTTTATTTAAATTTATTTTTATTGATTTTTTTTTCTTCTTTTAACATTACTTTGTTTAAATAGAAATTTTTTTTTTTTCCTCATTTATAGTTTATAGTTTTTTTTTTTTATTTTTATTTTCTAATTTTATATATATATATTTTTAATTTTTATAAAAAGTTTATAATTTCATAAAAAAAAAAAAAAGTTTTAATTTTCAATCAATTTTATTGATAAAAAAAAAAATTATCATAATAATATAAAAGTATTATAGTATTGTAATACCAAGGTTAAGTATTTATTATGATGATTATCTTTAATTTTTAAACTAACAAAAAAAGGGTTTTATTTTTTAATTTCTTAACTTTTTTTTTTAAAAATTCTAAATTTTTTTTTTTATTTGATGTGGATTTAAAAAAAGGGGATTTATAATTAAGTTTTATAATTTATAATTTAAGATTTTTTTTTTTTTGAATTGAGTTTCATTTCTACTTAACATATTAAATAATTTTTTTTGTAACATTTTATTTTTTTATTTTTATAAATTTCAAAGATTTTTGATTTTTTTTTCAAAGCCAGTCGTTAGCAGGCGCCCGGCACGGTTTGGGAAGCCGGGAATCCTCCCAGCC